AAAAAAACACACTAAAATATATTTACGAAATGAATCCGGAATATATCGTTGGAAATCTGAACACGTGTAACGTTTGAAGTCGCCCGCTGAAGTTGCAAAATTGTCTTGCTTCCGATATTTTGAACCGTCACGCGCGTTTCTCGAAAGAAATCATTATTACCGTCGTGCTATAGCTCGACCGTACGTGCGACGTGCGATGCCGCGTTGTTTAATAATATCGTTTCATTTCCTGCATAGTCTTCAATATACCCGTCAGATCCCGCCAAGCAGCGAGTGGGAATTCCATATTTTGCGAACGTGCCACGTCTCTTCAGAATTCAAAGTGTGTGTGCGTTCCCCGTGCGCGTTGTAAGCTTTTTCTTTTTCTTTCTTATTTCGTTCTCATGCTAAACCAAAACAACAATCCCGGCAAAAAAAAAAATATTAATGATTTAAATTTTTTATTGCAGTAAACGAGTATCTTTTGATTTTGCGCTTCAGAAACGCGAATCGTTGCAGACGGAGGAATCCACGTTCTTTTAGAGAAGTGCTTATTTTTTCTTAATCTCATTTTGTTTTAATCATACTCTCCCAGTAATGACGTCGTTATGCCGCATTTATCAAACACGTATTTATTTATATTAAAAAAAAGAGATGGTAATGGCGACGTTAAAAATAAAAAATAATGGTGAGTTCCTTTTCTTTTTGTTGAATGTAGAGGACGTTAAACACGACTCAAAGGTAGCAGAGAGCAAAATGAGAGGCCTTTTTTTTTTCTCTCTCTTTTTTTAGCCCTTTCGATTCAAACACTTTACACACTAAAAAAAAAAAAAGTAAAACCGCATGTTTACTTTTTTACAGAACGCGGAGAAAGCCACGTCACGGAAAACAACAGAAGAATCCCAGCGAACGACGAAGCTCAGAGTGCGACTAGGTATGAAAAATGCAATATGCATATTTTTTTTAGTGCGTAACGTTTGGATATATTTTTAAACATTTTGTTATTCTTTCTGGTGCTTTAAATCCGACATCTTAGGCTCTATTTCTCTCCACAGGGAAGCAGTGCAGCTTCGTATCGTTACAAGTATAATCCCACATCCAAATCCTCTTTGACGACGTCCGTGACAGCGAAAATCCTCGTTAAAATTAACGAGACGGATCGCTGATATATATAGCTGCAACCGCCGCGTTCACGGGAAAGACGCGCAACAAAATGAACGAGGCGTTGTGGGTCAGTGTTAGATGGAGGCATTACCCATTTCTCGACTAAAGCCCGAGAGATTATATAACGAAGAGCTCGAGTATATACACACATATATATCGCGTTAAAGAAGAGAAGGTGTCCGCGAGCGAACTCTAGAAGTTAAGCCGCATGTCACACGGCTCATGATACGTGTCATACGAACGACACTGTGTTCGCGCCAGACATGAGGGCAGATTTACATGCGAACGCGCCTCGTGAATGTTCCGAGCGTGTTTGTTTCCAACATGTCCGAAGACGGTGTTGGCCGACTGTCGTTTGTACAATGTGTTGGCAGTGCGCGACAGCGACACGCGAGCAAAAACATTTAGTAGGGTACGTTGTTGGGCTTAGTTGGTTCATCTATAGTAAAACATATAAAATAGCGCAAAAAAAGACAAGGACAAAAAGTATATACAGGACAGGCGCTATCCTGTATACTTGTTGTCCTTGTCCTATTTTGCGCTATTTTATATGTTTGGTTAAAAACATTTAGCTGCGCAGTGAAACGTCGCGTGCTTCGGTTCTGTAGCCCTGACCGTGTTGGCGCAGAAAGCGCGGTCCCCCAACTTTTATTTTTGCGGCCCCTATTTTTCGCGAATCGGTCGCAGAAGACATATTCGCGGCAACTAACTTTCGCATAAATTCCAGGCGCCTGCACTGAAACTTTCTGGGGACCGAAATTTTCGCGTGCCCTTAAATTTCGCGAATTTTTCAATTCCCGAAATTTGCGAAAAATAAGGGTTCGCGAACACTAAGGGTTTTACAGCAGTTCCAAATTACGCGAATAAGAATGGCGTCATTATGTTTTCTGTCACTTGTCTATGCGTTGTAATTGCGTCAAAGGGAACACACACACACACACACACACACACACACACACACACACACACACATATATATATATATATATATATATATATATATATATATATATATATATATATATATAAAGTGGCGAAGGCTTACACATGCTTCCGTTGATATACAGGCAAAAGTAAAGTGCGCGAACACAGCAGCCGCAGGATGATAAAAATAAAATTCTAATTTAATGGCGATAAAATTCACGCAAGAAAAAAAAAGGGGTGAAGTGAGAAAAAAAAAGTTGTATTAGTTTACAAGAATAATGAAGGCTAGGCACAAAAATGCCGGTCACTCGGAAAAGGAAATTAAGAAAGGACGGAATAAAAGTGGAACTTAAAACACAAGAACTCACAAAAATAAATTGTTAAATGGAAAATAGAATAAAGAAATAATATATATATATATATATATATATATATATATATATATATATATATATATATATATATATATATATATATATATATATATATATATATATATATAGTTTCCCGAAAAAATGAAAGAGAAGGGGAAAGGATCCAGTGCACACACTAATGAAAACGCCCATAAAACCACACAAACAATAAAAAAAATAAAAGCTGAGCAGGTCAGCTCCTTGCAGAATTAAATGTAAAACAAAATAAAAATTAAAAAAAAAAACGACACATGACAACAGGAAGAGCACGTTTTAGGGAAACATGGAATTAATATCCGTGTTTCCCTAAAACTTGCTCTCGCTGTTGTCATGTCTCTTTTTTTTTTTTTCTTTTTCAATTTCCCTTTTGGTTTACATATAATTCTGCAATGAGGTGACCTGCTCTGATTTTTTTTTTTCGTGGTTTTATGCGCGCTTTAATTAGTGTGCGCATTGGATCCTTCCCCCTCCTCTTTCATTTTCTCGGGAAACTTTATTATTAATTCTGAAACGCCAGATCGTTCGAGAGTTGCGAGTTAAAATACATTCCGTGCTCTCCGGAAACGTTCGGAATATCGTATGTTGCCTGGATATGTTCATGCGGCCGCGTTTCGTCCTTTTCATTTTACTAGACATTGCTTCTCATCGATGAAATAAATTTAAAAAAGGAGACTAGAACTGTCTACTGACGAAAGTGTCAACTTTAGATTATCCACACTACGAAGGCCGGAACAACATACGTGTTTCATTGAAACAAAACATCTACTTGCATTCTCAGGATTTGCTTGTTTTCGTGTGAATTATATATTTTTATATACCGCAACCCGCTGTAGTGTCGTCGAGTCCTCAGACGTCCCCGAGACAGACGCGAATTCTTATATCAAGAAATGCTCGGCTATGAGGACCGAATCCTTTAATTTCGCCGCATCCGCAGTACTGGCAGTGTTTTACCGCGGTGGCCGAAAGCACGGCCGTTCAAAAAGGAAAAGGCATCATTTACAACTCCAGTCAGGTATCTCAGGGTCCCCACTTAAATGGATGATGTCGCCGCAGGGCGGCGACAGTTTATCATTGCCGCCTTTAGACGGCGTGACCCGATTTCGGATTGCCTAGAGACTTTAAGTCTGCCAATAATTCTTTCTCTGTTCTCGTACTTGTATCGTTAAAAAGTAATTAGAAAGTTTGAGATAATTATTTATCTATTTAGTTGTTTTTTTTTTCTTCTGCGCAACCACCGACATCCTCTCGACATATGAAATGGCAGGCAGTTTGTTCCTGAAAAGAGTTTCATCTTTTCTTTCTTCTTTGTTTCAATCGCCCTATTGGTAGGAATTTTTTGGAAGTCTTCGATGAAACAACCGGTATAACAGTGATCTAACATAGGCCATTTTGCTTATCGGTTCGTTAAAACAGCGTATAAAAACGAACAAAAAAGATCCGGCCGTTATGGTAACCCGGTCACGCTAGAGGCCCCTCCATTTAGAATCTCCCGACGTAGAGGATCCCGGTCACGCAGCCTACAGTGCCCGTATTGGGCGGAGTAATGGTTCCGCTGACGGCGAGCGAACGCCGAGACGACGATTCGAGTAAATGCGTGCGGGCTGTGTCGTTGGACGATGTCTGCACGTCGCAGACATTGCTCAAGGACGCTGACAGAACCGATGTCTGTCTGACGGCGGGTTCGATCCGCCGGAGACACTGCTAACGTGAATTGCTGTCTTCGTAGCTGTGCCCGTTGGTCGGTGACGCGTCCCCTGACATTGCGCTGGTCCTGTAACTTGTCAGCAACGTGTGTTTCCTATTCGAGCAAGGATGTCGTTCTGTCAGTCGATAAACAGAAACCCGCTCTGGATCTGTTCTCAGTACCATGGTCTCAACTGTGGATGGTGGGTGGTGAATACCATAACTAATTGTAATAACCTGCTCTGCTTCTAACCTGCTCTGCTCGACGGAAGGAATAGATAATGGCAGTCTTCTATTCAGTTGAGTTACCGAAAACGAATTTTCTTCGTCACGATGACGCCTTTTAGACCTTTATGGTGTTATCGCGCTAATTTTAATTTTATCACACTCGTTTTGTTTGTAGTCAGTTTGTGTTATAAACTGCCTACAAACAACATAAGTGTGTTATCGAGCACTTTCTATAACACCTGGGTCAGCTTGCTAGAACAGCGTCTTGCTGAAACTTAGCTGAAACTGGGCGAAAGAAAGCACTGCAAAGGCCGGGGCGCGCGAGTGTCAATTGAAACGAGGTTTCGGTCCCGCTCAGCTCGTGCGCTGGCCTTGGCAATGCTTTCTTCCGCCCAGTCTCGGCTGAGACGCTGCTTCTAGCAAGCCGACCCTGACCTGGCTGGCGCACACGAGCCTCACAACTCTCCTGCCTTCTGAGGACACGCTGACTTATTTCGGGCCACATGTCTGACGACACGAACGGCGTCTATGTTTACAGACGCGATTGACGTCATCACGCAACCACGACGATGCGACTGCACAGGAGGGACGTCTGCGTTGTGCACTCACTTTTCGGTGTCCCTTTCGAGCAGCTCTCGGTGCAGCCTCCGACGGTACTCCTCTTCGTCGGAGTCACCCTGCGGTCCCGAGGAATTTCCCCCGGCAGTGCCGTCTTCCAGCTTCCTGTTCTGATCCAGCGTGCCCTGAGGGTACTGCACGAGACAAAGGGAGGAACCTGTACCGGCGTCGGGCCTCTTCGGAGGTCATGTCCCCTATACACCGACGCGCTCTTGAAAAAACAAGTCCGTGTTTGCTCACACCAGATGTGGGTGCAGCGCGTGCGCATAAACTAGCGCAAGTTCGTCTGCTTTTTGCGCAGGGATTGCACTGATGTCAGAATAGTGGGTAGACCTCGATGCTAGCTGCCTCGAGGTCTACCCACTATCCTTCCAGTCGGAGCCAATCAGAGCTCGGCGTTGTGACGTCACCGCAACCCCTGCTCAAGATGCAGACGAACTTGCCCTCCGTATAGATTCGCGTGAGATGAAGCGTCTGCGCGTGCGCAATGCCGACAGTGGCGCCACCGCAGTAGCGTGACATCAGAGAATTGGTGTATGCTTCTTCTCAGCTTACGTCTGGACGCAGCCGACGGTACGCGAGCTGATGGAACCAATCATGCAGTCTCAAGAGCGCAAGTCTCTAGGTCTTCCCTGGACATGATTGGGTCAGCCATGATAGAACTCGTATACAGAAACATGACGAACATTACGTTGATGCGTTTTTGATGCTGTATGACTGGTCCCATCAGCTCGTAGTAATGGCTGCGTCCGGATTTAAGGTAAAACGAAGTATAGCAGGAATGTTTCTCTATAGAAAGCTTGTTTTACTTTCCAATGGAACACGAGCGGTTGCTTATTTGAACGGCGCTTCGCTGCCTCACTGATCGCAGTGTTCATCAATAATTTCTAACCGGAGGCAGCTATAGATGATCGAAGAACTGTACAGATGGCAGTATCGATTGTATTGAGTCGCTCAGTCATAGGCTTGAGGCTACCTTGTTGTTTCCGCTTTTGTGTTTATTTCCAGTCTGCGGTTCATCTATTGGAAGCACATGCGGCAATCTGTCATCCTTCCTTTTATTTATACTAGATTGAGTACTGTATAACACGCTTCCAAGACGCGAAGCTGTGCGCTGCGTGTTCGCGCCGGCTCCTCAAGTTTTATGGACGGCCTGGAAGCGTATATTATACAGGGCGCACACACGGGACACCGTGTTTTGGTGCCGTGCTCATATCACATGCTCAGAACTAGCTCACATTTATAGGCTGCTAAGACCTGCAATCTTGTTGCAGTAGAATACACGTCACAAAAGCATTTTGGAAGCTCGCCGTTAGCTCGCGCTGAGCAAACCACAGACCTCCCTACAGCACAACGGCCATCATGTGAATATCACCCACAGCTTGGACCCCAACTAAGGTCCCCGGATCCACGGGAATATATCGCCATTGGCTTCCCCGCCTGCTAGCCAGACCCAAACAGATGCTAACATAAGGGCGACCAAAACCTCTCAAGGCGGTTGGCTGACCCATCTCTGTTGCCGCCATATCAGTCGCAATTTTGGTCCTTTAAAATCTTCGGGGTTTCGAAAGGGTCGTTCTGAACCAGCCGAGCCGAGATCTCTGTGGAGCGTTGTTATCGTACTGAAAGCGTTCCTCGCCAAAATAAGTGTCTTTGGCAGTGTACACGCAATCAACTAACCCATCTGGCTTATCTCTACGGATCTCTCACAATGATATTGTTTTTTGCGTATTTCAACTTTCAAGAGGCGAAAGTTATTTTTCAGGGCCGCCAAGCACCGACGCCGCGCGTGGTTGCGAAGATGTGCGATCTTAGTTTCGCCGGTGTGTCGATAACAAGATCTCTGTATATAAGAAATGTCTTAATAAAAAAAATGTCGCCGCGAATTTGGATCGGCTCACCGAAAATGAAGACGTCAAGAAGAAACTGCTCATTCCATAGACCAAAATGGCGACCATGCAGGGACCTTGGCGCTACTTTTCCAGGATTCAGTGACTTTAGCTCAAACCATCTCTCAAGAGCGAGCTGCGGGCTCACAGCATCCCCTCCAAACACGCGCGCTCGTGCTGCACAACATACCCTCCTATATACTGACAAGCCTGGCTGATAACCAGCCACGTGACTGGCGCCCCGCTGTGGCGAGACGCCGAAACACACTTCTCCCATGCGAACAAGTCTGTTTCGCGTCCTCGCCGCTGCAAAAGCTGTGCGCTAACGTCAAGGTTCCCCGAGAAATGGTTTTGATGCTCTTTGCTACCAAATCCTCGCGCTCCAAATCTGCGACGGGGCACTCTATGGCTCCGTCGTCGAACTGCCAGGCTTTTGTGAGCATAGAGAAGATGAGGCTATATGCACAAGAATCGTTCACAGCAGCATGCTCCTGATTGTATCTTCGGCTTCGCTCGCACATAACGTGATAGCCAACACCACCTAGAATAATCAAAGCCTGCGAACAGCCTCCTCTACCTCCACGTGACGTGATCACACTCGAATGATTCCAACTCAGTATTTGGGCCCGTGCCCAACGCCGAGTTTTTTTCGATGCATTACACGAGTCTGCGCTTGATTTCACTCTGGTGAGGTCAAAATGCTAGTGCGCGGTCTTTGATTATAGGTATAGTACTCGGAACCACCATACCGCAGAGACAGCCCACGACTTCAACTTTCCCACGCGTAGTTCCTTATTTCCGCTCCCCGGACGGCGTTTACGTTCTTCGTTCGAGCAGTATGACGCGCGGAGACTGACCCTAAATCCGTCCCCGCGCGCACGCGCGTGCCCGCGTGTATATTGGGTGGGCGGAATTAAGCGGGCTGACAAATGGAGCCCGCGTGCGTGGCCCGGTGCTCACCGGTTTGAGAACCTCGGTGATGAAGTAGGTCTGGATGCCTGCCAGGCGCAGGGCTTCCTCCCGGGATCCCCCGTCTCCTGGGCCGACCTGGAACTCTCCGTTGAGGAAGGCCAGGGTCTTCTCCGAGATGTGCACCCGCCTGCGCAACGAGGACGCGGAACTGGGACCACGCAGACTCGTGGTTTGAGCGCGCGTACGTGTACGTTGCTTTGTTAGCCCTCGAAGACGACATTGACGCTTTTCCGCGTTTTATTACTTCGAAAGGGTATATTGACGGGCACCAAACTGTACCGCTTAGGCTAGTGTCCTGAATTAGTACTTTCCATCACACTAGTATACTTTAGATGAGTGCCCTTTGATCCTGGGATGCAAACAGGAAATCCTGCAATCGTTTGTTCGCGCGCTTACATTGCCGCGCAGTGTATATAGACTCTCTCACACCTTGAAAGACGTTCATTCGCCGACGAAGTTCTTGTGGCGGTGCTAAGCCCATTTTTGAGACAGGGCGCTTTATTTCTAGAGAGAGAACGAATAGAAGGAAAGTTCGTTTATTTTCTCATCCCAGGAGCAATATGTGAACCTACGACAAAGCGAATCCAGCACAGCTCCACGAAACTGCCTCATCGAATGGGTCCGATCGCCTCGTTGGAGACTGTGCCGCAATTAGTTTAACGTTTCCTGTAATGGAACTGGACAAACGCATCTCCTGGGAAACCTCAGGTTGCTGCCCACGTTATTTCAGTGAGACATATAGCTTGCTCGGAGCTTACCAGAGGATTCGTGTTGTGAATTGACGCGACGTTAGAACTCGTATTTCGTCTTTAAGAGTCGAAGCAGACTCGCTTTATACTTTCTTATTTGTGTACTTTTTTATCCTAACTGTATATAGTTCAGGAACGAAGAATCAACGACATTTGAATGGCACAGTCGTCCACTCCCGCAGTGTATTCACTGCGTGCACATTTCCTATAGACGTAAACTGGGAAGTATGTCTCGCGAGATAATGCTGCGTGCGAACTGATTGTCGTGTCATAGTTGAAATGTCCTTGGGTCTCAAATCGCGGAGATGACTTCATCGGATTTCGTAATGGTGTACTAAAACCATCAAGCCTCAAGTCCCACCGCTCATACATTAAACAAAAGACACGGCGCTCACTACAGACAAGATGGCGGAATTATCTGCGGAACCCGCCTGAAGAAGCATCTTCGAAGCATGCTTTCTCCATACATATGTGTACTCCGAGGAACATGACTCCAGGCAGTTGTCGTAGGAGGAAGAAGCACACCTCACAGACACGATCAGCAGACTGTCTTTTGTACGATGCAATAGCAGCGCGGCTTTAGATCATACCCTGGCAGGCCACCACTCTCCATCTTGTTTGCGAGCACGACGTCCTTGCTGTAGACGTCGAACTGCCACTGCCTCTGGCCCAGCACGCCGGCCAAGATGGCGCCCGTGTGGATGCCCACGCGCATGTCCACTCCGGACTTGGTCTGCTCCCGGACGGAGCGGATGGCCTCGACCATGCTCAGCCCCATGTGCACGCAGAGCACGGCGTGGTCCGGACGTTCCTCTGGGGCCCCGCTGATGCAGTAGTAACAGTCGCCCAGGATCTTGATGCGGAGCTGGTGGAACTTCTGCGTGGCCGAGCGCGTGCTGACATGCAGTGCCGTGGAGGCCACCCTACACACTCTTGAGAAATCGGGAGCGTCTGCTCTCCTGCAAAGCACTTGGGACTGCCAATCCCTGGAATCTACAGAGGCACTGAGCATGGTAAAACGTCGTGCTCAATGCTACAACACAGGCAACTTTTTTTTTCTCTCTTTTTGGAGGTTTAAACACATTATTGTTCCGTCATTCGCCGAACTCCCTTCGTATGAATGCAGCAATTAGTTCTCCTGTGATTTGGGGAGAGCAGAGGTTTCCAGTTTCTTGGAGCGTATAACGAAATAACGGTGATTGTGCGGGCGAACTGGTGATAATTAATCGTAATGTAAGACCTGAAACTCTGGTGTGGAAAAATTAACAAACGGTCGAGTCGAAGAAAAATACAACAGTATAGGAGACGTTCCCTACGCTGTTGTCTTTCTCTTCGACTGGAAAGTTTCTTAATTCTTTACGCGCAACAGTCTCGGGGGTTACATTGTGATTAATAGAGCGTATTATTTGTTTTACTTTATGCGAAACTGAAGCCGTACAAGTCTAAGTTTCACATAATGCGAATCTAAAGCTTCAAATGCCGCCATATATATACGCACTCTAAAAAACACCCGTGCGTCTGCTTTCCCGCACAACACTGGGAGAGCCAATCACCGCAACTTACGGATGCTGCTCAGCGAATGACGATGCTGAAACATATGTTTAGACCAAAAAACGCAGCCTGAGTTGTGACATTAAGCAATGCAAAACGTCACGCTTGCATTGCTTAATGTCACAACTCAGACTGCGTTTTTTGGTCTAAACAGATGTTTCAGCATCGTCATTCGCTGAGCAGCATCCGTAAGTTGCGGTGATTGGCTCTCCGAGTGTTGTGCGGGAAAGCAGACGCGCGGGCTTTTTTGGAATGTAGGCTATAACGCTTCTAAGGCACTTTAGACGTCCCACAGAAATCGGTTAGACCGTTAGAGGAGCAACCACGTGGTGGAAGCGTGGGGTGAACACACACATAGTATCAGTGGATAAGTTTACCTCGTTCAAAAAAGGAAAACAAGAAAAATCTGTTTTGGGCTATCTGCCGTGGCGTTCGCAGACGACGTCGTAACCGGCCGGGCTCGCCTAGTTAAATCTGCCTCCGACAGATGTCGGAAGCGTTGAGCACGCCTGCGCCGAGTTTAGCAGACGATCTTCGGAAGCTTATCACTTTGTGGGCGCGCGTCTCTGCCGGCGCGCTGGTCGCTTCCGATTTCTGTCAGCGGCAGAATTAACTAGGCGAGCCCGGTCATGACGTCGTCTGCGAATACCGCGGCATATATCCCGAAAACAGGTCTTTCTTTCTTTCTTTCTTTATTTCTTTCTTTCTTTCTTTTTGTTTAACAAGGTAAGCTCATTTGTTTATATTTTCATCCTATGCTTCAACCATGTGGTTGCACTTCTGTAGTAAATCACAGCTCGATACGTTGAGAAACCGTTTTTTTTTTTTTTCGGGTCGTCTGAAGTGTTTCAGAAGCGTTAGTTTACATGTGGTAGAAGCCCGGGGCTCGCTGTTGTGGCCTCTGCTACGCTCCCTCTTAAAGTGAAACAACGTATATCTTCTGCCTAACAAGAAGGCTCCTGCTGAAGGTGCCAGGTCGGGCGTTTCTGGCTCCCCAACATATTCGATTTTTAAAGTTATCAACCTGACCGCACAGCTTGATATCACAACTTGATCTCAAATATCTTAGTGTTCCAGTAAGTGGCGTTGTGAAGAGTACTGTACACTTTTCAACGCGCCACAGCGCATTAGACGGTGGAGGCCTCCGCCCAGCAACTGCTGCCCCAAGCACTCAATGATGTCCGTAGGACGGCAGTAGTCGGAGCTAGAAATCCCGTTCTCCGGTGACAGCAATACCAAGTGCTCCCACTCACGTCTGAGAGCTTGTCGAAGCGGGCGAACAGCTCGTTGAGAGTCCGTACCAGCTCCGGGGCGGGACAGGTGGACGAGAAGGCCGTGAAGCCCACGATGTCGGCGAACAAGATGCTCACGTTTTCGTGCCGACTCATGTAGATCTTCTTGAAGGGACCCTGCACGACGGCGTCCAGGTCCTGCTTGAGCTCGGCCGCCACGTGCTTGGGGAGCACGGACAGCAGGAGTCTCTCTTGCTCTTGAGACTCTTCCTCGACGACCAGCTTGGCCTCGAGGGACTGGCGCGTCTCGAGAAAAGCTCGCCGCTGCAGACGCTCCGTCCACAGGAAGGCAAGCAGGCCGAGCAGGTTGGCGCCCACCAGCAGGGCGACGGACGCGAGGGGTGGCCGGCCCTGCCACAAGGCCAGCTGGGCGATGAGCAGGGTGCCGGAAGCCGCCAGTGCTGGCAGCACGCGCCACGGAAGCATGGCGTGGGCCGCGAATGAGTAGAGCAGTAGCCAAGGCAGTGCATCTTCGGAGCGCTGTCGAAGTTACCGCACCAAGTTAGTGAGGTTGGCTCCTGTTCATCGCCTAAGTTAACCCTAAGGCCGCTGTCACGAACAATGCTCATTCATCACACGAAAGACAGGCTCCAGACACTGCCCGAGGTGCGTTTTTTCCTCGTATATGACGGTCACATTGGACATGCAGAAAGTGTTTTTAGACATGTTCGAAGCATACATGAATACATGGAGAAAACATGCTGAAAACATGCTTCAGGCGTGTCCGTAGATACTCTTGTCATCGTGTCTGCAGCAAACACATTTTCTTCTGCATGATGTATGAGCATGTGTGACTAAGCCCACTTCGTTCAGTACCAACGCAGAATGTGCTACGGTCATTTCTCGTTTTATATGGAGACCTGCCCCTCCCCCTAAAAAAAATCTAATTTATAATAGGGAACAAATTCACGTATTTGCAGAAATCATCCCTGAAACACTTGCCTACATGCATCGCTGTAGCATCTTATTGCTCGTCACAGGAAACTCCCTCTCCCTCTCCTCCTGTAGTATCCCCAATTTTCTTGGACATCAAAGCCTCGGCGCGTGCACTAAAATTAGAATTTTAGCTGAACAACAACGGACTATCACTATGTTCCCCGGAAAGGGTTTAGATGACAATCATAAAATATCAATTAAGCAGTAATTGAACTTTTGGACGTGTATATTATTTCTTCCACTGCTCTACAATATTTATTTTTTTGCATACGATTTTTTTTTTTTACAAAAATTTTTAATTGTTTTTTTTTTTTTGTTAAAAAAAAATATTATAATTTTCCCGAGGACAGCGATTGCCTGGATATCAAATAACGTAGATAAATTAGAATTTTTTTAAACCATTTAATAATAAAACTTTTCGTTCACTTTTTCGTACGACTACTGCAGTAAAAAGAGCTGCGACTACTGCAAGAGACAAAACAGCAAAACCGCAGAACAGGGTGACCGTGACAGTCCACTTAATGTAGGGGGAAACGTTACGTAATTAATATGAAATTTTGCCAGAAGCTCGTGAGGCACTAGCGATCGTATTAAGTATTTCAGAACTGAAAATATATTTTCAATCGATTCATCCACAAATTGAAAATCAACAAGGTGCGAGTTAGGAAAGAGAATGAATTTTACGGCGACGTTGTTGGTATCGAATTTCGACGATCAGTTTTATAAGCTTTTTTTTCTTTCACTATCTCTATGTGCGCTTTCACCTCAAGAAAAAAGGAAGTTTTGCGCATTGTTCATACGCCGTGCGAAGTAGTTCTTACGGGATTTGATTGGCGGAGGAAGAAGAGATGCTTTTGGCGTTTGAAGCGTTTTCATCTTGATAAGAAAGGATATTTCTAATATAAAATGCACCTACATATATCTTAATTATTTACATAAAACAGAAATTGAGTAATGCTCCGCGTAGAGGCGGACTCTTTTTAACTACGATTCTTGACGACTGGAATGGACTGGAATACATTTTTTTACATACCGGTTTTGAGTTTATTTCGTGCCAATGTTTCGTTCACAATGGATTTTTTTTTTTCATGTTTCTTTTTTTTCTTTGCTTTCATTTGCATCGAGTTGTTATTGGGTTGCATTCTGGATTTTACGGATAAGTGCGTATATAATTATTTCTGAAGAGCTAGAGTGCCTCGTTAGTTGCTCCTTTCCCGCTTGACCTTTAACCGACCTAATCAACGAACGGATGCACGTTACAAGCGAGACCGCACGCAAATAGCTGCGTAAAATCCCGTTATCTCCAAAAACTGCAGAATAATCGGTAAACTTTGATCCGTTTCCTTTTTGTAACTCGATGTCGAGCCGCAGAGGGAGCGCGCTTTTGCTCTTGTCAACGAACACTCCGCACTCCGTGACATTAATATAGCACGATCCTTGACATTAAAATATAACTTTCTATCTATAGACCGATCGAAACGATGTTTTGTCCTGTCAGGAACGCGTGACCGCGATACCCGCCAACGGCGCGCCCGTATTCACAGCTGCAAGGCAAACAGGTATGTACTTGCCGACGCTACGAGCTAGGTGGACCAACCAAGCAGCTTCAAAAGTGCAAATCACTGAAGCTTTTCTGTTTGTGATTGGTTCAGCGACGATGAACGCGTACAGCAACATGACTGATCACGATGGTGCGCTTTTGACGCTCTGCGATTGGTCCCATCATCTTGTAGTGTCGGCTGCGCCTAAAAATGGGGGGCGGGGGGGGGGGGGGGGGGGGACGTTACTTGAGTTGTCGGCAAGCTGCTACGAAGAATAAACAATAGAACAAACAAAAGCCCGAGCACGAATGTTTGCTCTCCTTGCCTGCGTTTCTTTTTCTTTCGCAACAAGAGTAACCGCCCGAGGGTCTGTCAGTCAATCCTGGAGACTGACATATATGTTTCTGGGATGTTTCTTGCGAGAATGAGGCTAGTAGGCGTTGCGAGCAAACATCTCATCGACCGACAAATAAACAACTACCGTCAGAAACTTAATCACTCATATAATTGAGAGTGCTTAACAAAAACTGTAGCCAGACAAAAAAAGAAAAAAGAAAACACTGATCGAACGTAGTTCGCACGTGATGTTTTAGTTCGAAATGATATTGTTTGTATAAGTTTAGACAACAGGAACTATATAGTCAGTCACTATACGGCCGGCTGCTACCTCCATTGTATGTGAGATATTTAGCCAGTGCAGTACCTCTGCTCGCCTGGGGACTTTATAACGTGCATCACGCAGTAGCGATCATCGATCCAAATGTCGGAATACGACATCAAAAAGCGAATAATTTTATGTACAAATAATACGGAGCTGTCGTCGTGCTCAGTGATTTCCCTACACACCCCTTGTTTATCTGAAGGCACCCCTTAGTTCGCAACGACTGCTCTATTCTTATGCCCCCCCCCCCCCTCCCCCCCTCCCCCTAATTTCAATTCCTGGGGAAACCTTCGGTCGTGCTGGGCGCTCATATCTGACAGCTCTTATATGACGGACAATGGTACACACCATGCTGTTTCGTGCAGAGCAAGTGCGGCGGTCGTGTTGTGTCATCGTTCTACCGCAGTGTTGAACCGAACATCGACGAGCAGACGAACAGGGTGACGAGACTTATACATGGCTTGCATGTCACGTTATCGTACCATGCTGGTAGTCATTTCGACTTGTTCTTGCCGAGAACGACAGATGCATGCTGCCAAATGCACACTGGGAGGACACTGTTAGCGCGAACACGACTGGAGCGCTTTTTCGCATTTTGCTTTAAAAATATACTGGCGGGCACCAACATTCAGTACCCTAGCTGAGCACTGTCCACCACTATAGTAGTTTTGATGGCAGTCCTTCGATACTCAGAGAAAGATGGAGCGAACCGGCGATGGCTCGTTCGTGCTTACAGTGTCGGGCAGTGTACCTTCTCAGCAGCAGGGCCTCCACCACAACAACAGCTGACGCGACATCAACGCGAGCCACGTATATAGGCTGGCACCGATAGCGGCATGGGGGTCCCCTATACGTCTCGAGCGAGACATCGGGGCCGGGCGGCTCACCGTCGCCTCCGGTATGAGCAGGGCAGCGCAGCAGCCCTGCAGCAGCTGCACCAAGACCGCCGGCAGCGCTGCCCACTGTCCCCCCGGCCACCTCCAAGCCACCACTTGAAGCACAACGAGGGCTACCCCCTGTCCTCCGAGCAGGGCCGGCCCGCTCCAGTGCGGGGCCTTCACCAGCCAGAACGGCAGCGCGACGGCAGCGAGCGCCAGACAGCACAGCACGGCCGCCGCCTGCCATGCCTTGAAGTCGAGCCACTTCTGGGTGCGGTAGTAGTCCCTGTACAGGCTCTCGGCCTGGGCGTCCGCGAACAGAAACCGGAACCGGCGCGGCAGGAACCTCTGCAGGCCGCTCTGGTCGATGCTGAGCTCGGTGTCGGTGCGCTTGAGCAGCGGGCGCACGGGCCCTGCCGCCATGGCTGCGTGCTGGCCTGAGCCCGGGGCCCTGCGCGGTCGCCTGTGGGGCAGGCGGGCGCCGCTTTTAGCGCGCTCGCCGTGCGCGGCGCCCGCGGCGCGGCTGGATCGATGCGGCCACGCGCGCGATGCGGGACGCTGCGGACCCTGGGTTGGGAGCCCTGGGTCTACCCCGCCTGGCGCGGACCTTGGGGAGGCCGCCGGGGTCTGCGCATGGGGTCACGTGCAGCGCCCGCTTTCGGGTCGGCGGGTAGAGGCGGTTTAAATATTTTTCTTTTTTTCTTTTTTGTATTTGTCCCGTATGTTTGTTTGCGGAGAGAACGGGGTGTTATCGGAGAAAGGTACGCGCGGGGAAATGTGAGCGTTATTCTCCGTGCGTTAATTAATTAACTGATTGATTAGTTCTTGCCCTCGGTATGGGAACGCTGGGGGTATGAATTTCGACGCAAAACGAGTGTTGTTAGAAAACTGCGAAATGAATGATAGCACTGCGGACATAAACGTCGACGGATGTGTCGAGCCTTCAGCGAATCGAAATTTGTGCATGGAACTGTGATTTATGGACAGATCCTGATGCACAAACTTCTCTCAATGAACGACAGCTATAACTAACTCGTTATTCTTAGAGAAACCGCCTCTAAATCCACACTAACATGAATTCGACAGTTAGAAATAATAAAACAAGCTCTAACAAATGTTCCTTTTAGGGGGAAAAAAAGGGTTTTGTGTCTATGCGTTTATTAGGCACCTTAGTCATACTGAATTCGCCAATTCTCTACTTTGCGTTACTATCCGACGAACATTCCAAACAGCGGAAAAATTGCTTTAATATGCGCAGTAAGAAAACAAATATATTAAATTGTATTGGAGTTGTACTGCAGTTTCTAATCTGAGGTAGGCTCACCGACACATCACCAAGACGCCAAATTCAACGACACTCCCCACCACGGCGGCGCTGCCGTCGGATCGACGACAGCGCCATTAGCGCCCGCGCCACGAAGCATCGGAAGTGTCCCCGGCCTGTCTCCACCCCCCCCCCCCCTCCCCCCTCCCCCTCCCTACGGGAATCCGTTCGGCTCGCCGGCGCTGACGCCCCCCTCCGGACCTCAATTGCGGCGGCGCTGCGGCACTCGGGGGGGGGGGGGGGGCCGAAAACGCGCGGTTTGAGCTCGCCGGGCGACGGACCTTGGGCGCGGCACGCACACGCCTAGGCAACGCAAAGCACGGTCGAGCACGCAATACTCCGCGGTTTCACCTCACGATGGACCGCTGGGAACGCTACGATCCATCGAAAAACCATTGGCGTGCCTGGATTTCAGAGTGTTTCCAACTTCTCGATGAGGGTCACCTGGCAGGAGCTCACGTCCACGTTGAATTTTAAACTCTCTCTCTTCGTGTTTCCGTTGCTTCCTCTCCTAAATCTGGGCTCCCTATACTTCGTTTGCTCGGAAGTTTGACCGCAAGTCAAGGGTGCGAACACATACAACAGCGAACACACCTACCAAAAGCGCAATTCACTGCGCCTTCCCTGTACACGGTAGGTTTAGCGGCGAGGATGGTACAACAGGTATACAGAACCCCGACGAATGCCATGACGTTGCACTTTTGGCTAGAGAGAGAGAGAGAGAGGGGAAGGGAGGAGCGAAGCGCGGGGTCACGTGATCACGTGACGTACGTTCGCAGCGCATGATTGGCTGAGTTGGCTCGTAGCGTCTGCTGCGGTCCATATCGCAAGGTGAAGCGGAGGACAATCACCAAAATAAGAAGAAAAAAAGAGAAGAAAAAAGAAAGAACATGCAGGGCGTAACGTTCTCGGCTTGCGGACTCCTCCCGGAGTGGTGGCGGCGCTGGTCGGGGATTTGATAAACTCCTCGCAAACTCTCCGGAGAATTCGAGCGAGAGTCGTGTCGTGTAGGTTTTTTTGGGGGGGATGGCACACTCGGACGCGACTCGACAGAGATTGATCGCGCGTCTTGTGCCGAGGCTCCCCCGAGGAGGACGAAGAGGAGGACGATGGCACGAGAAGTAAACGAAAGCAAAGTTTGGCAAAACGACCTGCGTGACGACATTAGAAAACCCGCGTGAAGGTTCGTCCAACTGCCTATTGAGCTGCATGCAACACGTATACACCGCGAGTCACTGTTAACTCGAAAGCGACACCGGCGCTTTCAAAGCGTGAAATGCTTTTTAACGCTACCCCGCAGTGCCGAAACTTTGTCCGTCCGTCCGTACTTCGGTCCGCGCATTTTCCGCTAAATTTAGCGGGAAAAGTGGCGTCACGCGGCGTCACCCGACGTCGCGCTACCTATACGTCGACTCAGTTTCTCCGCTAAATTTAGAGGGGAAAATTCAAGTCGTGTGTTGCAAAACATCAATTCAGTTTTCCCGCTAAATTTAGAGGGGAATCGACATCACGTGACCTGTACACCAATTCAGTTACCCGCTAAATTTAGTGAAAAAATTCCCGTCTTGCGACCCCGTCACCAATCCAGCTTCCCCGCTATATTTAGCGGGGGAGATAGGCGTCACGCGACCCGACGTCACGTGACCTATACGACCGTTCAGTTTCCCAGCTAAATTTAGCGGGAAAATATACATCGCTTGACGCACCCATTTCCCATAACTCGTTTTATCATAAGTCCGGACGCAGTCAAATGCTAGTGCACACGCTAAACCGATACAGATGCACTAAAAATTAAAGACGTTTACAAATCTCTGTAACGCGAAATTAGAGCGCAGCTCTTGAGGATGAGGGGAGGGTACGCCCCTCTTCCTGCTCCGTACCCTCTCCTCCTACCGTCCTTTCCTCCTCCTCCTCCCCCTCCTCCTCTCCCCTCTTCCTCCTCCGTACCGTCCCCTCTTCCTCCTTCGTACCCTCCCCTCCTCCTCCAGCGTACCCTCCCATCCTTCTCCCTCCCCTCCCCTCCTCCTCCATACCCTTCCCTTCTCCCACAGTTTCCCCGCTAAATTTAGCTGAAAAATGGACGCCACGTGACCTCAACAGCAATTCAAATCCCCGCTGTATTTAGTGGGGAATGAAGTATTGGGGTCACGTGACGTCGATTTTCCTGCTCAATTTAGCGCAACCCGGAAACCGGCACCTAAGAGCTGCGCTCTAAAAGTGTAACGGAAACGGGCAGTGATTTCCCTACACAACCCTTAGGCGGGGGGGGGGGGGGGGGGGGGGGAAGGGGGGGTACACCCCCCCGCCCCTTGTTTTTCTGAAGGCACCCCCTTAATTTGCAACGACTCCACTGTTCTCAATCCCCCCCCCCCCCCCCCCCCTCCCCTAGTTTCAATTCCTGGGAAAACCCCTGGAAACGCCTTCCTTTCAAGCCGCTAAAACTCGTAACAGGAATTCGTACCAAGGTTGAGAAGAAACGAGGAACGAGCTTTCGTTCCCGTTTTGGTGGAAAGTGTAAAACACCATTTTTATGACAGCTACTCACTTTGAGGACAAAAACGAGGAAAAAAATGCTTGTTCGCACTAGCAGTGTCACGTTGTGTATAAACTCGCGAAGGAGTCAGAACGTAGTGACGTCGCTGAATTGGTGATATTTTTAGTTTTATTTGTAATCCTGGAAGGTAGCGAGCAATCATTTAACCACAATTTCAAAGAAATTTTTTAATGGTTTTACTCGTTTATGTGTGGGACTATTGCTTCGCTCCGAATTGTTACTGCGCTATATCGTTTAATCCAATTGTTTACGCGTTTATTGTATTATCACGCGACCTTTTAGCGCTGAGAAATATACGAGGGTAGTGGTGCTACGGATCCCCAGGTGGCGGGGTCGAATCCCGGCCGAGGTGCTCGCGGAATCAGCCTCCCGGAGGCTTATTGCGGAGCAGGCGCGCCGTGTAACCCAGATTTCGGTTGCACGCCAAAAGGTCAGGTGACCGAAATGAATCCTCAATCTTCCGCTGGTGCATGTTATATGCTCTTTTGCTGGCTCGGCACGTATAAACTCACCCAAGTTTGGTTTAAAATCATTCTTGCATGTTATCGAAAGCTTTATCCGAAATGCCGGGAAACACTTCTTTGTTCTCCGGAAACGTTAAAACATTCCGCGACCCAGCAACAGGATATCGCTTGTACTTACTAATGCCGTGTGTGAGGCTGAGGGCGTTTGTTAGAGCATTTAAAAACTGGAAAGCAAAGGAATCGTTGCTGGAGTCGCATTTTCTAGGCAAGAAAACGGCGGCGCCCTCAACACATTTAACGATAGACGTGCCGATACTGTAAACGTGGCTTGTTTGTAGTGGCTCTATAATACAAACGGCAAAAAGATTGGGCAATAGTTAATCAATTTGGGGGGCAAGAAGTGGTCCGTTTGCATCTGATGAGTATTGTTTTGTGTACCTATTTTATGTGTTGCAATTGCATCATTTGAAATGTTTAAAATTACCTCCGTATTTCTCAATCGAAATGCATTTTTTTTTTTGCTTTGGGTGAAAAGGAGCGGTAGTTAATTTACTACCGGCTTCGTTCATTTGTTCCGTTTTTGTCGCATGTAAAATGTAATTTGGACAGTGAAAATAAAGACAACGTATAACACGCATTCGTATTTTCATCTCTTCTTTAACCACTTTCACCTCTGTTGCTCTTGTGTCCTAAGAATAAAAGAAGAAAAAAAATATCCCGAAGAAGCAAACGCAAGATTGAATTCTATGCAGTGCGCAAAGAAGCGCGGTCCCAAACCGGGTCCTTCTCTGCATTGCGCGAAATTACCCCTATATTGCAGCATTTCTGGTTTCGGTTCGGCATTGTTTCGCTGTTTGCATCGGCAGTTTCTTTCTTTTGCCAGGAGGAACCTATTCGCTTCGCTTAATTTCACATCGCCCCTCCCCCCGCTGGCTCGTAAATATTCCGTGAAAACATGTCCTGAGACATTTATTTCATTTTCTCTTTTTTTTTTTTTTTTATCGCGAGCGTACAAGGTCGATTACTCTAACAACAATCCTGCCTAACAATTAAAAAATAAATATGTATATACCTGCTGTTGCTAGGAGACGCTTTTTTGTTTTGTTTTTACGTTGTTACGA